TAGGTTTATTTTTTAATTCCTTCTCTTCTCCCCATGTTACATGACACCAGCTGAGGTACACACTCAACAAGGGAACAGAAGCACCTGCATGTTCAGAAAATCCCCATGTTAAACCATGCAGCGACTGCTTCATAATTCTTCTAGTTGGGGGTGTCCCAGCTGACTGCGGGGGGGTTGGACTAGATGACCTTTGAAGGTCCCTTCTGGCCTAGACAATTCTATGATTCCTGAACTAGCAAGGCATCTCCTGCTGAACACAACCCACATTTATCTCAATTGTAAGTAAACAAAAAAGGACACCCTCATGGTGTCTCTCATATACCACCTTCAACCCAGCAAGTATGGTCCTCTTAGTGCTTTAGCATGTCTTTTCAATCATTTCCAGAATTACTTTAAAGAAACCTTTACTAACTTAGCAAGTCAAGGCCTTGCACTCAGCACAATGGCGCTTCCCTCTTTGACAGTGCACATGAGCATCCCTTCCAAAATTTCCGAGAAAGCTCTGCACGCCGCTGGCACAACCCCATTATCTCAGTAAAACCAGGGAACAGTCACAGTGAGAGATGCCCATGTCCCAATGCACTCCCCAACTTTTGAATCCAGGCCAATGAACAGGCAACAACAGACACAATCACAGAATTCCATGGGGTTGGAAGGGACCTCTGGAGATCATCTAGTCCAACCCCCTGCCAAAGCAGGGCCACCCAGAGCAGGTCCCACAGGATCTTGTCCAGGTGGGGTTTTGAATGTCTCCAGAGAAGGAGACTCCACCACCTCCCTGGGCAGCCTCTTCCAGGGCTCTGCCACCCTCACAGGAAAAAAGTTCCTCCTCATGCTTAGGCGGAACTTCTTATGTTCAAGTTTGTGCCCATTTCCTCTTGTCCTGTCCCTGGGCACCACTGAAAAAAGCCCCATCCTCTTGACACCTTAAAGGGTTTTAAGTATTTATTGGCATTGATCAGATCCCCCCTCAGCCTTCTCTTCTCCAGAATAAAGAGACCCAAGTCCCTCAGCCTCTCCTTGTCAGGGACATGCTCCAGGCCCCTCATCATCTCTGTAGCCCTCTGCTGTCCCCTCTCCAGCAGTTCCCTGTCCTTCTGGAACTGGGGGGCCCAGAACTGGTCCTAGTGCTCCAGATGGGGCCTCCCCAGGGCAGAGTAGAGGGGCAGAATGACCTCCCTCCACCTGCTGGTCCCACTCTTCCTGATGCCTCCCAGGATGCCATTGGCCTTCTTGGCCACCACGGCCCATTGCTGGCTCATGGGCATCCTGTTGTCCACCAGGACTCCTAGGTCTTTCTACTCAGAGCTGCTCTCCAACAAGCCACCCCCCAACCTGTCCTGGTGCAGGGGGTTATTCCTCCCCAGGTGCAGACGATGACTTTCAGAACCACCATTGCCACAGCGGTGCTCACAGTGGTGACATGATGAGCTTTTCATCTCCCTGGTGGCGCAAAAGGAGGAACAATGTACATGAGAACTTACATAAGCTGAATTTATCAAGGCTTCTGCAACCGAGGAGGGAGCAGAGAGCAACAAGCAAAACAGTGACAGAAGGTCAAACTGGAAGGCTCCCTGGAATGGGTCAAGAATTCAACAGTGAGCACAGAGTCCTCCAACAAACAAGAATAAGTATTTTACATTTGGGAGAGAGAGGAAAGGGAAGATGAAGCAGAAAGGAGGATCTCCGTTGCTGCTTTTCTCATATTTAGGCGGTAATAAAGAATAAGTTGTCTCTACTCAGAACTGAAGTGCTCTCACCTCTTCAAAGAGAAATCTAATTGGGATCTTTATGCTCTCATGTACTTATTTTTCTCATCCACAAAACCTTGTTCTTAGTTCCACCAATTTGACCCAAGGCAGAATGACTCACCACAGCAAAAGGCTGGACAGCAGCTTTTTATTTTTTTTTTTCAAAGACCTAAATAAACCCTACTCCATCAATTGACCAAGGACGATGCAGCAGTAAACCTCTCACCGAAGGCTGTGCGTTGCCTTGGAAACCTCTCTGATCTCCATTGCTCCAGGGACTGGAAATGTGCTGCCAACAGGAGATTTCAGCTAATCAAACCAAATCTCTTAATTCTTTGACAATTTCCCATCTGCAGAGAGCAGGCCGTGTACCCGCAGGAAGCAGGGCACTCCCAGAACCCAGCCCTGGCTCCTCCTTGACCCGTTACTTGTTGGGTCCTTGTAGGCCACGGACATCTCCTGACAGCTACCAAAGGGGAGAAAGGGGTGGCAAGAGGCCACAACGTGCTCAGTATCTGCACGGCAGCTCCAGACCTGGACCCAGCACGTGGCTGCAGAGAGGACAGGTGGTGAGGAGACCAACTGCCCACTTGAGGGCTGCCTGCAGGCAACAGACCCCACACCATGCCTCAGCCCTGGCCTTTGAAAGAAAAATAATTTTTCCAATATTATCACAGAATCATAGCATGGCTAGACTTGGAAGGGACCTCAAAGATCATCCAGTTCCAACCCCCCTGCCCTGGGCAGGGACACCTCCCACCAGACCAGGTTGCTCCAAGCCATCATCGTGGCAAACTGCTGACCAAAAAGAAAAAATGGGGCAGCCACGTATCTCTTGACCATCCTAGACTGGGGCATGCTGTCAAACTGCAGCACAGAACACCTGCTTTATTGTAAAATTCCTAATCGACAATGCTAAAAAGGGCAGCTCTGGTAGCTATTTTAGTCTTGAAAGCACAACCAGTAATTGATTTTTTTTTAATTATTTCTTTTTTTTTTGAAGTAGAAACGAGACCGACCTTTCTACAGCTCCACTAAAGGTTTCTGGCTCTGGCGTTTAAGCCCAGCCACAAAAACAGACAATCAGTCTGGCATTTAGCACAACCAAGGGGCCACCAAGAGAGGCCTGAACAGCAAATGGGAGAGGAATTTTCTACAGTCACACTGCTGCCAGAGACAAGGAATTCTATTTGGTGGTGTTGAGACTCACATCCACGAAAAGCCAACTACCATCTGACAACCCTCAGCACTACATCACCTAAGGTGGCCCCAAGTATGACCTTTCCACACAAAGGGGAATTGCCGAAGGGAATTGGGATGTTAGAACCGCAGACTCAACTCTGGTCTTCACCTCAGGAGGTCATTCTGTCCTGCATCTCAGAGGACACTAACACACCCCTCTCTGAACCTAAAAGCCACGAGCCTACACTAAGTTCCAAGTCCACACGCTTCATTTGCTGCCAGATTAACTCACGGTATTGCCACAGTTGGTGTGAGGGACCCTTAGATGTTTTTTGTCCTAGTACAAGGAGGACATCTGCAGAAGAGATGCTGCCCCACCATGCAGTGCCCTGGGACCTGGGCTAGCTACTAAGCTCAGGTTCCAGCTCTTGAGGAAGAGGATGGAGGAATTGTTGGTATTTAGAAGGAAGCCCTGAAGAAGCAGAGGGCTGCTCATAAAGCAGGGTGTGGTTTCAAAGAAAGAGCACAGAAGACTTCTAGGCCTCTGGTATCGACCAAATGACCAACGCCCTGGGAAAACATGTTCTAACAATAACAAAAGCCATTAAAACAAATGCTCGGGGAAAAAAACGCCGGTGGTTTCTAGAGTCGTGTATCAAATACAGCGAAGAGATTAGCCAGCCACATTCCACCATGTCACCAGGAACGTTTCTCTATCCACGTTAGCATAAGAAAGCAGTTTGCTTGTTACTGGGGCTGCAAGGAGAAGGGTGTGAACCAGCCATTGCTCAGCTAAACAAGGGCTCTGCGGTAACAGAAACACAAGGAAGTCCCACAGGCATCAGGAAGAGGGAACCAGAGCTGGTTTTAACAGTCAGGAGAGGAGCTGGCTCCCTACATGTGCTTTCCCACCTTATTCTGTCCTGTATCTCACCTTCTTTCTGTACCAGGCACTCTGGAGTCTTGCTTAATCTCAGTTCAAGCCAAACTGAATCAAAGACGGACCCTGGGATTTATGCCCAAAATACCTGTTTCTACAGGGCATGGAAAATCAAAAGCAGAGTCGTCACAGATCTAATAGGCAGCAGGAATGACCTCAGAGAAAACAAACGTTTAGGATGTAAGACACCCCTCCAGAACTCCTTTGTAAAAGCAGGAGCATGCAGGGCAGGATCCCAGCACGACAAAACCTGGGAGAAGGGCCCCCTCCAGATTAAAGCGAGCACAACGCTGCCCCGGAGGATTCATTTGCTCTAACAAGTTTCAAAGCCTCTGCCTGGAGTTTCTTTCAAGCAAAAAGCTGTGACGTTGGAGCGTTCTCGGGGATAAATGGAGAGCCGTGCCACTTGAGAGCCAGGAGGCAGATAGAGGCGACTGCTCGCCAAAGCAGATGCGATGGAGAGAAACTAAAATAGATTCCACTCATCTCAAGGGCTTCTGCAGTTCTGAGGCTCCAGTCCAGCCCATGTGAGCAAACATCCACACACACATTCTGCAAAACACTTGACATTACGGACCACAAGAATCAAGTGCAGCCCGTTCCTTGGATGTTCTCAGACACACTGAGCCCAGCTGCGGAGTCTACTTACTACTTTATTTCAATCTCTTCAGCTGTTTTCTTCCACAGCCACTCTGCTACGTTTAGTTCCTTTTTTTTAAACCTACCTCTGTCACAAATATCTGCAATTATCCGTGGCTTCCCTTGCACAACGATCAGATGTGCTCTCTGCTTAACAGGAATGCAAATACTCCACACCTGTGGTACTCGTTATGGATATGGAATTACGGTCTTACCACTGCTTGACAGTAAAATCTGAAAGGACTGCAGGAAAGAGGCACAATATCAAAGCAGAAAACAGAAGAAAAGGCTAACTCCTGTTTCATTACTTGCAATTTCCAAGACCTTTGTACTTCAAGAAAACCAAACAAGCATGCAAATCCAAAGTAGCAAGTGTTGGTAATAGGGGATTTGCTTTTCAAACTCTGATTGTCACCAAAGTAACAAACGAGGAAAGCAATCTTTCTCACCGAGAAATAGCCACAAAGCATTCAAAACACAAGACTTACCTACTCACACCTACATAAAGCAGCCCAACAAGTCAAACCAGCAGTGAAATTTCCCAAGAAGACTTTTCACACACAAATAACACATTTCGAAGCTTTCTTCCTGGGACACGGTCGCTAAATCCTTGGGACCTGCAAGGTTCACACAAGCCAGAGAGAAGCACAACCCTGAGTTTCAAGCACAGGAGTAGTGCTCGTGCTCTTTTCTCTGTGTGTACTTGTTGATTTAATGTCCCAAGGAAGAAGGAAGGCTGCTGGTCAGTAAACATGTGACAGCCACCAAAGGAATGCCAGCCAGAGAAACGAGATAAAGCAGCCTATGCTGCTTCTGGTAGGGTTTGTTTTAAAACTAGCATCTCACCTGCTCTCACCTTACAAGTGCTGGGTCTTTATTCAAGCAATCATCATGCTGATAAATTCACCTTTAAAAAATTGCCATTCATTTATCATGAAATTTTAAGCGATTTTTCAGTCCTGTAAAGAGATATAACTTATTACATGGCTTAAATTCACACTCTGGCCATAAATCGTTTGGAGCCACTTTAGAAATGTACTTTTTCCATCCTAGATTTGCAGTGAAAAGTAAAGTAAGGATCACAGCGGGCACTCGGTCTGAAATAAGGTGTTTCCTCTCCAGGGAGCAGCCTACCCTTTGCACTCACCAGGCATTACTTCTCCGAACCATCAGAGATGGAGCTGTGGGCTCCCGTGGGGGAAGAGCAATGGGATCTTGCTGATGGGACTTGTATATACAGAGGTAAAACCTGTTCTTACAGCAAAAGGTGTAAGCACAGCACCCATCCTAATGCGTACCTGGTCATATGCCTACTACACACCCATGAATGTCCTTTTTTGGAGACATTCAAGCCCCACCTGGACACATTCCTGTGCAACCTGCTCTAGGTGGACCTGCTTTGGCAGGGGGTTGGACTAGATAAACTCCAAAGGTCTCTTCCGACCCCATGGGCCTCTCAGTTCAAGAAGGACAGGGAACTGCTGGAGAGGGGATAGAAAAGGGCCACAAAGATGATTAAGGGCCTGGAGCATCTCTCTTATGAAGAGAGGCTGAGGGACTTGGGTCTTTTCAGTCTGGAGAAGAGAAGGCTGAGGGGGGATCTGATCAATGCTTATAAATACTTCAAGGGAGGGTGTCAGGAGGACAGGGCTGGTCTTTTCTCAATGATGCCCAGGGACAGGACAAGAGGAAATGGGCACAAACTTGAATTTAAGAAGTTCCACCTAAACATGAGGAGGAACTTCTTTCCTGTGAGGGTGGCAGAGCCCTGTCAGAGGCTGCCCTGGGAGGTGGTGGAGTCTCCTTCTCTGGAGACATTAAAAAACCACCTGGACAAGATCCCGTGCAACCTGCTCTAGGTAGACCCACTCCGGTGGGGATGTTGGACCTGATGATCTCCAGAGGTCCCTTCCAACCCCATATGATTCTATAATTCTATAATCCTATGAAAAGCTGCAGATTTCAACTTGGAGACTGTGTCTTACAAAGTCACACTTCACTGAAGAATTAAAAACAAAAGAAAAGAAAAATAAGAGGTAGAGAATGGACTTCAACTCCTATTTTTTTTCTTAAAAATAAAAACCCTTGATGTATATTTTAGGCAAGGCTCTGTGATACTTACTGTGAGATCACATCCTGTTGTCAGTATCCACACAACTGCTCCCTGAATGTGCACTTTGGACGTAGATTTCATTCCGAGTAGAAGAGTTACTTTTCCCCTGCATTCAGGGCAAATCCATCCTGATTGTCCATGCCTGCAAAAGATCCCTCTGCAGTGAAACTGGAGCTCTTCCAAGCAATTTATTAATTAGCGCAAAATTGCGTTTTCACCTTCCAGCATATCTAGTGCTCCAAAACAGGATGGAAAGGCTGGAAAATAAAAATCACACAGCTGAACCCAGCTACTCACAATGCTTAAAACATGAGAGAGCATGGGAAAGATGGGCTAAGAACAGCAGGAGGAGAGTACATTCCCCGCTCAGCAGGGGCTTGCAGGGCTGCTCACAACCCAAAGGGCTTCTGACCCCATCACCTGCAGCAATTTGTAAGTTGGCTCTAATCAGCTATCGGCAGCATCTTGCCTCTCTAAGGTCAACTGCTCCCGCAGGCAATTTTCTGCAGGTGTTCCTAATGCAACTCTTTTTCCTTCCGCCCCTCCAAAAAAGGCATTCTGATGATCTTGTTTATAAACGTTGCTGCCCCACCGTAAGCAGGGGAAAGAAGAAGCACCAACTCAGCCCAGATTTGTCTGAAGGTAGATAGGAAGGGGGGGAACACAGACACACACGAATACTTTAACAATGGATATCAAAACAATGGTCCTCAAAAACCTTTAGTCACTCTGAAGGGAAATTCAAATGAATTGAGGAATGTCCATGTTCAAGCCCTAGTGCTTCCAGAGTCTGTGCAACTTCCCTGGAATACAATGCACTTCTCCACCAGCAACTGATAAGACGGGGATAAGAGGGTCACAAACAGGTGATAAAATATGGATAAGGATGTCTCCACAAACAGGGAAGTTAACTGAAATTGCCCGAGTGAGATAGCCAAAAGAACAGGAGAGTTAATTGAAGCTGCAGGACTGAGATAACTGAAAAATTGGGGATTGACTGAAAATGCAAAAGTCAGACAATTATAAAATCGCAAAAGTTAAACTTTGATGTAATAGGTGGATTGAGAAGTCTGTACCTTCCAAGTACCTCTGCCAATGGGGAAAGGAAGAGGGTTCCATGTGGCTGAGGAATTAGGACAAAACGGAGGCTGTGCCCTCCGGAAAATGGGAATGCCCCAGTGGACTCTCCCTTTATTTGAATAAAGTCTTTGCAGGACTCCTCTGTCTCCTCTGTGAACATCGACTTCTGGCTACGGGATTTTCTGCACACAATGAGAAGAAAATTCCAGTGAAAAAGATAGCCATGAGATTAACAGCGCAGACAAAATGTACAGGGGAGATTTCCCACCAGTAAAGTCACAGTTGCAAGGGTGGTCCAGCCTGGGATCTGACTAGAGGCCATAAAGAGATTATGCTTTCAGTGACAGCACCATGGTTTAGGTCATAGAAGTGACAAAAAGGACACAAAAGTCATTAAGAGAAAGCCAAGCGAAGCAAGCCGCTTCTACAATACAAGGACCATGAACAACATAGCAGAGATGAGTGAGTCAGGGCTCTGCTTGTCAATCAGTTGTGGGAAGCACTGGAAAAAGTCAGTGGAGGACCTCCAGGAGAAGATGGTGATGGTGAGAAGATAGAATCATAGAATCATCCAGGTTGGAAGGGACCTTCAAGATCATCTAGTCCAACCATCAACCTCACTCTGACAAAAAAACATCACTAAACCATGTCCCCCAGCCCCACGTCAACCCATCTTTTGAACACCTGGGCTAAAAGAAAGTTGTTGGTACATTAAGAGACAGCGTACATAATTGCCCATGGCAATTTAGGTTATTTAATTAAGTGTATTAACACTAGTAAATCAGAGATTTCAACATTTGTTACCAGAAAGGGAATAGATGTGATTTTCTGGAGCATAGCAAAACTCAGCATCGACAAAACAAGCAAAGTACCCCAAAACAAGCACTTTACCCCCTTCCTGCAGAAAAAAACCAAAGCACTTTACCCCTAAAAAAAAAAAAAAAAGTTAGAAGTGGACTCGAAAGACCACCTGGGAGCTTGTACACAGGCCTGGCTAGGGCAGGGGAGGATAGAAAAAAAAAAAAATCACTCCTCATGTCATCCTTGATGAGGATGTCAGCAGTGACTTGCTCCCCTCGGGACAGTGCCACAGGCTCCAACCAGATCCCTTCGCTGCCCTTGGCTTCAGCCCCGGCACAGACCACGCTACTAACATAAAGGAGCTCAGCTGCACAGGAAGACTTCGTGTTTGTTAACATTTATTCTCCTTTGTTTCATTTTCTCTTATTTCATAGTGCATTTTCAATTTCAAACTCCTAATAGATGGCAGTTAACACCGCCGAGTTGATTGTTAACTGCTGCAGCTTCGGAAATGAGAACATTCGCTCAAAAGTCAAGCCCTCGATTTTGGCAGTGTCAAACGTTAACTTAGGGAGTGATTTAGATGAAAATTAAGGCCTTTGAATAAAACTACTTTTAAACCCTAAAGAACAAGTTTAGACTCTGTTGCTCAGCCAGCCAGTTTTCAAGGTATTTAATTTCAGGGAGCGATGACAGATTTCAGCTAAATTTTAATAGTGTGGTAAAACTACTGAGTGTAATTAGTTATAGCATCTACAGAACTTACTTTTTAAACTCCCACTTAAGGTAGCTAAGTAAAGTAACTTTTATTACATTTCAGAGCTTATAATAATTAAAGTTTACAGTAAACCCACAGAATTCAATAGATTTACCTGGTTATAAATCTTGGAGCATAAAAATGGTTTGCAGAGGCAGCACGTAAGTGATTCCCAGGCTTTCTGCAAGGTGCCAGCCATTGAGAGAGCTGATTAGTCAATCTTTGATTAATTGCCTGCTGTGTAAGAGCCAGGGTCAATCTACTCAATTAGGGGGAGGTCTGGTGGAGATCAGAGATGGAAATCAAAACCTATGGCAAAAGCTTCGGCAGAGGATGAGAACGTACCAGCAGCCTTTCTTCCTTGCATGGACCTCTCTCCCCCTGGCAACCTGCTCTCCAGCCACAGCCATAAGTGGATGCGGAGTGAAGAGCAAGAGCTGGACACCCTATGTGCCTTCTCCTGTGTAGCCTTCCCACCTCCAGCCATCTTCAGATCTTAGGACTTTTTTGAGCCTGACGTGCCTTGCTTTCTTTCAGGTTCTTAACCAGCCTTGCACTGAAACCAGGCAAACTTTTTGCACCTAACACACTCTTCAGAAGAGATCTCTGCAGATCCACCTTCCACTGCATGAAGCTCCAGCTTCTTCTGTTCTTCCTGAAGGCAGCTCCCTTTGATACACCTTAGGCCTTATGAGGCAGTGAACAAGCACTCCCAGCCCACCTCTCCACTACTACTCACCTAAGTCTGTGTATCTCATGATCCCCGAAAGTTAATGTCTTTTTCCAGTTCATGAGTCTTTGTCAATCAGTCATGCCCATGACCAGAAATGTCCACACTGTCCCTCCTGTGGGACCTCTGCCAGTTCTGCTATATCCTTTTGGGAAGGAGGAAACCAAAACCACGCACAATACTTAAGGTAAAATCTAC